ATAAATAATTAGGTTCATTTGAAAAATTTTCACTGGTATATTTCACTATGACATTGTAATTGGAATAATGAGAAAGATTAAAAATGGTATTTTAAAAGAATAATGAATTATTTTTGTCCCCAGTTATTGCAGTCTTCACCTATATTCACATATACATGTAAATATGGATGCTTTATAAATATATATGCAAAAGTATATAGATTAAGTAAAAAAATAATTCTGAATATATTTAGATAAAAACACTTATTTACTGTAATCTGTAGTAATAGCAAAATCATATAAGGATAAACAATTAAGAAAATAAAATTAGCCAAATTCTAATTGATTGTGAATGTTTATAGCATATTGAAAATAATGATTTTTAAAAGGTGTAAATTTAATTCTCTCTGATCTTTCTTTGATACAATATAATGGAAAGTAAAGAATGGTTTATAGGCAACATTCTTCTCCATTACTTGATTAAACAATAGCAGTCAATATGCTACTATATCCATTGCCTGTTTTGACAGTTGTATAACACAGCACAGTTAGAAAATAGTTTTCTGCAAGAGTTCTTTAGACTATATTTCCAAAACATATATAAACCTTTATTTCATCTCTCTTATTTTGTATTGTCTCAACTTAGATGCATTGGGAATAAGTAAGCAGGGCTTTGTTTTAGCATAGAGCAAGCAACAAACCTTTTATTAACCATCCACTTCTGACCACTAGCACATCACTGTGCAGTGTTGTCTTTCTATTAGAACTACCACTGCCTCTTCTCCAACCAGCTGTCTGCCTGCATACCTCTTCAGCCACACCTTAAGGGCCTTAGTTTATACTTTGTGTTCGTCATCAGGTTAATTTTTTTCTCTTTGCATGTATTTTCTGGCCGCTAATATATTTGTAAACTTTCCCTAAAATGTGACATAAATTCTTAATACATAATAACATTTTGTAGTTGGTCACTGCTCTGGCATCACACACACACACACACACACACACACACGCACACATATACCTATATACATATATATATATATATATATATATATATATATATTATTTTATAGATACAAGTATTTAAATACATTCTCTGTAATAAACAGTAAACATTTATCGGTCTGAATGTCAGAAAATCTCAAAGAAAATGATCCTTCCGACAGTAATCGAACCTGTATCCTACACGGAATCGTCGTATAGCATGACGTGCTATACTATTTAGCTACAGTGGAAGCGTCTGGTGAGCAAGGTTAAATTACTGTTTTTAAATTTCCTATTATTTAATTCGAACGCTCGTATCTGCTCGAAGCGTATCTTAACGTAAACAATTGACATAATATATTATGAAACATGGACTATGTCCGATAATTATTTTAATATAGATTTTGTCTATACGTTATTCTTATAAATACAGATATTTAAGTAAATGGTGTCTTTGTAATAAACAGTATTAATAAACATTTACCGGCCTGAATGTCCGAGAAATCTCAAAGAAAATATGTCATCAGAATGCAATACCTGAAAACCTTTGAACTGTAGTGTGTGTGTGCATATATATATATATATATATATATATATATATATATATATATATATATATGTATGTATGTGTGTGTGTATGGATAAATAGATAGATATATTGGTGTGTGTATGTCTGTGTGTTGATCTCGAGCTACATATATATATATATATATATATATATATATATATATATATATATATATATATGTGCGTGCGTGTGTGTGTGTGTGTGTGTGTGTGTGTGTGTGTGTGTGTCTACAGCTATATAAAAACGTATATTTTCAATCGTTTCATCCCAATGATGAATATAATTGCAAGAGAACGCGGGGGCGGTTACAGGTCGTGAAACTGAAAGAGAAAGCTGAGAATATTGAGGATTGAAGACAGTACAAAAAGGAACAGGATTCAAGATTATGGAAGATCGTGATTGGCTTTGAATTTAATTTTTGAAGATCGTATTTATCAGAGAAGCATGTAATCAGAATCTGTTAGAATCGAATAAACGGTTGAACAGTAAAACGTTGAGGCCTAACTGCCAATCTAGTAACACGCTTAAATTCCTCAGAACAGTTGCCATGATGATATTTCTAAAATAATACAAATAAAAATAGAGGGAAACCACGTCACGTAGGTAAGAAAATTGCTGATGTCGAGATGCCTGGTTAGGATCGAATACATTCCAGACACTTCATTGGATTTTGTCAAGAATCTCGAGATGTACAGCAGGAGAACCAGACCGGATATGCCAACAGTTTTCAATGGACAGAGGAATAATCGATTTATAAACGTGCAGGATGGATTCTGATGAGAATATTTTTTCTGGCACGATACAGCGACTGACCCAAATTTCCTGCAGTAGACGTAACGATTGATTTGATATAATCACTCCACTTCATCTCAACGGAAAACCTGAAAACAAAAAGGCGTAGATTTTCGCACTTCTGTACTTTAGCATTAGCCATGCTGATGGCAGGCGGAAAACATTATCTGTAGTGATTAAATTAAAACAGTTCTATTATAGAAGCGTTAACATTTACAAGCCATTACTTGTCCCAGTTAACAACTGATTGGTTCTTTTCAAGAGCAACTGGCATTGTTAGATATTTCAGATTTGCTACTAAGACAGCTATAAATGGTCGTGCCATCCGCATCAATACCTATTTGGGCATTGATAACACCAGATAGACAGGTTCAAGGATAGAGCCTTGGGTGGCTCCCTCGTTATTATAAACAGATCTGGAACTAAACCCATTCAAAACCACCTTCTTTACTCAGTTTATTAGGAACGATTGCATTAAACCAAATATTCCTCCCGTGAACCTCTAACCTTTGTTTGGGTAGAAGGCCAGTATACCAAACCTTGTCGAAACCCTTCGAGATTTCTACGACCATCACCCCAGCTTCGCCTTTCTTATCTAGAGCTATCAAAAACTCGTATAAACACAATATTATTATAAAAAGAGAACCTGATTAAAAAAAAAAAAAAAAATAAAACTAAACTTTGTCTATGGATCTGCGCCATAAAAAAAAAGCCTGCATATATTAAAAACTACTTACAAAATATACATAGTATGCAGTTTACAAAGCGCTGAATATTCCCTGAGTTTACAGCGGCACCGATACGTCTTGTAGGGGGTTTTTCAAACAAAATATTCTGAACACCGCCGAAATGCATTAACACTAGTTAACTGTGATCGTATCCACTGTTTGTTCACCGTAAACGTTTATCACGCGTCGATAAATGTTAACAGGCTCATGACAACCTATTGATTTTCTTACGCGATTTCCTGTCACACGTCATACCCTCCCCCAAACCACTCTGTGCAACAATTTATTTGATATTCGCGGAAAGTTCAACTGCTGTTGGCATATCACCGTCACAGGCCAACGTAATAAAGTGGGAGGAATTACTTTTGGAGTAGTGACACAATGATGTTCATGATTTTCTTCTTGTTCAAGAGTCGTCCAGGTTGACTGACAATATAACGGCAAGTATTTTCTCTCACCGGAATGAACAATTTAGGTTTAAATGGGGGTCTCATTTAAATCCCTTCCCCGTCAAATTATTTTGGGAAAAACGTTTCATTCTCAGACGAATATTTTTTATTTGTTTTTAATGTTGTAAGTAAGAAACTGAGGTACTTTGAAGTACCCCAGATGTAACTAACACCTCTAACCGACGCATGAGTTGACAACTGGACTCGTTGCAAACTTAGAATGGCATAAAAAGAATCAAGATCGGCGTATAAACACGTTTGTCGCTGGGTTTTTTTAACGTTATTTTTTGGACGTGTTTATTCGTCAGTGTCAGAAAAAAGACACTTTCGTTAAAAAAAGTGTATAAACATCTATGCCCCACAAGTGGTTAAGAAATAAAATCAGGCTTTTTTTTTTTACTATATTATTGTCTTTCTTTCCTTCTTTTTATAGTGCTTCTTTTCCGTATATTTTTTTTATTATCTTGTTTTCTTTGTGTATCGATTTCTCTTTCGAGTTGTTTGTAGTTTTTCTCCGTTTTCGCTTGATTTTTCAAAGATTTCTTTTACTGTTTTTTTTCTCCTCGTATTTTATTTACTCTAGTCTTTCTTTTCTTAACCTTACTTTTGACTATTCTATTTTTACTGTACAACTTGATGCTTGGTGTGACTTTCCTTCCTTATTTTTCTCTTTGCTTTTAGTGGACGGTATATGTGTGTATGTGTGTTTTCTTCATTAATAATTTCTATCTTCATTTAAGCGCTGTAAGCTTGGATGTACGTGTGGTGCAATGGTTAATGGCTCGGCATTGTTAATCGGAGAGCCGAGTGCAAATTTCCGGTGGGTTTCGTCATAATAACTTACGCGCAAATATCCTCGTGAAATGTATGGATCGACCATTTCTCCTCTCAACTATGAGTTAATTAGTAAAACTTGTAACGGTAAATCATCAAAAAATCTAAGAATATTTTCTGGTTTTAAATAACATTCAAAGGTTGATAAGCCGTAAAAACAAATCGATCATTAATTTCTGTTTTTTTTTATTTATAAATCACTTCTTTTTCTACATTTTTATTTGTCTTTTCAGACATTATATTGGTTGAAGCGTTTAAATTTATATTCCACGTTTTACATTCATGCGTTTATTATTTACTTATTTATTTATTTTTCTTTATTTTTTTCTATTTTCTTTGTCTATTTCCTGATATATCATTGATTGATTCGTTTTCTACGGCTTATCAACACTTTGCAGGTTATTTCAAGCCAGAAAATATTTTACAATTTAAGATTATTTTTTTAATTGGGGAGGTAATAATGATTTAGTGACTTGTTAAGTCTTACTAATTAACCCATAACTGAGGGGTAGAAGAGGTGGGTTCATTAACTTTCCCAATAGTATTTGTGTGAAAGTGAATACAACGAATCTAACTGGAACTGAAAGTAAGCTCTCCAATGAAATATTTCGAGCCATTACCCATTAAAGAACTCGCATATTCAAGATTACAGATCTTCTTAATACGAAGTGGTCACCCATCTAGGTAGTGACCAGACTCACCGTTGCTTAACTTCGGGGATCATACGGGAACCGGTGTTTCGAAGGGATGTCACCGTAAACTTTCAAAGCACACAAACACACAAACACACACACGCACGCACGCACACACACACATTCGCTTGAGGATGAAATGGAACTAATGTCTTTAATTTAATTGCAAAATTAAACTCGTGGCTTTTAGCTTCCATTTTTGAAACATGGTTAGAACTGTGTAGCGGAAAAAAAAAAACATATTTTAAATCAATTAATTTATAATATTAATGCTCTGTAAATTTACATTGAGCACTATTTTGTAAAAATAAAAATATCTATAAGAAACCGGATTATATATCTTACTGTTCTTTTTTTATTTAAATATATATATATATATATATATATATATATATATATATATATATATATATATATATATATAAATATTACTCTGTCGCTGCACACTTCAACCAAGTGTTTCATAGAATTGATGCCTGTTTTTACCGTTTTAATTTAAGAGCCAACGAGAAAGACGGAGATCCGAGTTAAAGTACAATTTTAAAATAAAATTACATATTAAGGGATTAAATAGTGATTCGGCTTTACTCAGAATATATAGTTTTCCACAGGAACCGTCTAACCAACTACAACAACATTCACCGGAAAAGTGAGTCTTTATTTCTTGTCTCGTTGAAAAGAGACACAGGCGTGTCCGAAAATTCCGACTTTAAAATCTTTCTTATCGTGCCTCCTTCTAGTCAAAAGGCTTATAAATCCTCTATATTTGTAAATAGCAATTTTTGTCAGTTTGTCTGAATCAAGTTGCCGTCTAAATCCGTGAACCAATATTGATGAAACTTTGCAAAACATATTAAACTAAGATTCAATTTTTTATTGTTTTATATATATATATATATATATATATATATATATATATATATATATATATATATATATAATGCGACCATTAGGTGCCCCTAGATCGCAGCTCACCGCCGGGTCTTACGCGGAACGCTGTTTACTGTGTTTAAACAAGGGAGATAAATGCAGGTTATTTTCTAAATGAAATATTTATTTAACATATTAATTCAGCATAATCTTTCTTTGAATACGAACTCGGTGTTGTGTTTTGATTTAAAGAAAAAATAATTCGTTTACATTTCAAAAGAAAATAATACGTTTCAAAATTCGCCAGGTTTAAATTTATTAAATACAAAGAAATTGGCTCGATCCTTTCGTTGAAAATAAACATCTAAATAAAAAAAAAAAAACAACATTTAAATTGGTCTTATTCGTGAATAGAGAATTTACTAAGCTCATATTACAAACTACCCATAAAACGGCATATCGTGGTTATGGTTGTTGTCTGAGGAATACAAGCTGTTTGAAGATCAACTTCGCGATATCTAACGTCTTTGTAAAAAAAAAACAAAAAAAAAAACATCATTCTTAAAAAAACCAAAAGTTCTTAATTGGCATGAGCTAAGTTCCTTTCCCTAAAAAGTTTTTACTTTTAATTATTCCGGTTTGGTAATTCCATTAATTCAACGAAAGAACAGCATAGCATGATGAAAGTTAATAAAAATTTTATCGTCAAAACGTTTATGTTATTAAATGTAAAGTCCCAAGTATTTTTTGATTATTTTATTAATTTTTTTTTCATCCTTTCAATCACGTTTGAAATTTTGGTGAAAAATCTTGTTTTGTTTACGTCAGCGGTCTGCGTAATATTCATCATTAATGTTTTAGCGCCTTTTTTATGGTGAAAAACATTAATTTTGAAATTCTTCAAAAATAAAAAATTATCGGGTTTTAATGAAACTTTCAATTCAAAAATGAATGAAATTATTTTTTAGGTACGTGATTTTTTTTATAAAGTCATGAAAAAATATTTTTTACATATGTTACCCACTCTTATTTAATTTTATGGACACTTGAGAAATCCGATGGCATACCTTTTATTGATTATATTAGTTAAATGCAGAAGACTTTGAAGACTACAAGTCATAGATTTTTTCTGTAAAATCGAATCACAGTTACCCAAAATTTAGCTCTGAATTGGAACATGAAAAACCCAATAAAACTAAGACATTATTTAATCAAAAAAGCCTTTAGTGGATTTTATGAATAATATATTTTAAGGACAATATTGTCTAAACACAACATATTTTTCCGATGAAAAATGAATTTTTACAAGAATTTTTTTTTCAATTTTAAATACAAAATGAGATAAATTTGTTAAATAGTTTTAAATAATAGTTTCAATCCGTGCAATTTAGTGAATCTTTTTATTAAATAGATCAATCTTTACAGATCATAAATTGGGAAGATTAGTGATATCTGTGGCACAAATGTATTCTAAAAAAAGAATTTTACACAGTTTTTGAGTCTGCATATTTTTTTCCAAATATATGGATGATCGTAAATGACCTTAATGTAACGAGTTTTAAAAGTTGTTTCACCTGACGGCCATAAACTGAGTTCAGAAAATATTAGTTTTCGTACTGCGATTATGTGTTGAATTTTTTTGCTGACTATGAAAAAATGTGGCCGTATTTTATATTCTTTTTTTTAACGCCCTATTTCAATAGATATTTTTAAAAAAACACTTTAAATATAAATAATTTTGTTATTCAGTAAGAGACATACTGCAGTTATGATTTCAATTCTAGGGACGAAAACAAAACAATATTTAAAAAAAAAAGGAAAATTAAAAATTAAAACATTAAAGAAATCAGATTTCATTAAAAATGAAAGAGGTAGCTGTAATCTTATTTATGGATGCTTTTATTATTATGAATGGAACTTTTGAAAATACGACCACATTTCGAATTAACAACCCTAACGAGTATATGAGAACTGGGGTAACATCTGCTTTCAGGGAATCACTGGGGTACCTCAGATTATATATATATATATATATATATATATATATATATATATATATATATATATATATATATATACTACTCTACTTCTGTATCGAGCACTGTCTTCTTAAAAATAAAAACAAAGAATACCAAGGAACCTCGGATTATGAACCCAACGTGTTCTTTTCTATTTTCTGCATACCTACGCATATATATATATATATATATATATATATATATATATATATATATATATATATATATATATATATATATCGTCAATCTTATTGCCAATATTGTTATAATTTTGATGTCTTTTATTCGTCAACCACCTGAAAAAGGCCGGAGTGTACAACGGCCGAAACGTTGTGATAAATATGGCGACAAAGATGAGAACAATAGTCTGAATAATGTAAATAATTATTTTACAGTATGTAAATAATAAGGCTCCTTAAGGAATAAAAGATGGAAAAGCAAGAACAAAATAACAAAACAAAATTAAATTAAATCAAAATATTTAAATTAAATCAAATTCGTTTCATTTCATTTCATATATATATATATATATATATATATATATATATATATATATATATATATATATATTCAAATATGCTATTACTTTGTATCTTCCGTTTTCTCTTTCTTAATTTTTCTTTCTTTCTTTGTTTCTTTCTTTCGATTTCAAAGTTATATATTACCCCAACAATTCTTTTTTTTTCTTTTAACAAAATTTGTTGCTATTAGTTTTATTTTAGTTTTAATCTTTAAAATTATTTTGCCGGCCTTTCTTTCTGTCTTTCTTCCCCTGTGAATAAATGATGGCTGTTTTCATTTTAGCTGTAGTTTCGTCATTTTTCTTCTATTCAACGGGTCAAGAGTCGCTGATCCGGATGCAGAAATGTCGGCAACCATTTTCTCCCAAAGAATGAAAAATGTACGCCCAAAATAAAGTTCTTAATAGAGAAAATCACCAGCTTCAGACGATGCGCATAATTGACACTGTACTATTAAAAGTTCTTGGAAAAATTATAGGATTCTATTTAAGATTCACTTTTTACTCTGGATTTAGACTGAAAGGATGTTTTAAGTTTCGATGAATATTCGATTTGTGATGTCTCTGCGCTGTTAGATATTTCTTGAAGGCAATTAAACGGATAGTTAAACAAGATAGTCGATGAAGAAGAAGAAAGAAAGAGTTATCGGGTACTAGTATTGAAAACGTAAAACATTGGCTTTAAGAAAGGGGCCGGCTTCAGATGTTCGCTACTCTCCAAAATAAAACCTTCGTGGAAGTTCAACTAATAAACATCCAGCATAGACAGTGAGATGAGCTAGATTGCATAAGATAAAGTAAAGTCTGAGGGATGGAAGCCGCTCTCTATCTCACGCAGACACACACACACACACACCCACACACACACACACAAACAAACACACATACACACACATGTGGGTCAAGTGTAATTAATAAATTCCAGAGATGAATAAAATGTAATCTTATCTAAGTGAGATTCAATATATCGTTTTGATTATGATTTAAGAATATAATTCATTGAACTTATTTGGGAAATATACTGAACAGAATGTGCATTGTTGGGTAATAGATATCGGCTCGGAGAGAAAACTCATTCAGCTTAGTTCGAATTCCAGTCGAGTTCGTTAGTTCCACTTACGCACCAATGCCCTTGGCAAAGGTATGATTCCATCTCTTTTCTTTTCCGGCTATGGCATGAATAGCAAGACAGACTGGGTTCTTTAGACTTGGTTGGCAACCAGTCTACCGCAGAAAGAAAAGGCAACCTATTGCGGGAAAAATCTGCCTCGTCAGTCATGCATCGAAAGATACAAGATCGCCTAAGCGTGTATCTCGTATGGCATTTAACTCACTGTCTGACTGAACAAAAAGGTCTGAAAAATTTAGAATGCACAGTAGAATACAGGCAATGACATAACTTTATTTTTAAGATAAGTTATTGGAAGTATTTTTAATATTTACATTGCTCGCACTGTTGCCCTCATCTTCATTGTCATATTCACGACGCTTCGACCGTTTTACGATCCGGCCTTCTTCAGTTGATATATGTTGGAATTTCGAACCGAAACGTTTATTTAGACCGGTGGGGTCGATTGTTCTCAGTGCATGTGCTATGCTTTTTCTGGATATCACAGTTTCAGTCATCCTTTAGTACACAAAGTTTTCGACCACCTCT